CATTGAATTTGTTCAATAGCATGCAATTGTAGCATTGACTGCATTAGAAGCTTCCTTTACATAAGCCACAGAAAAGTACATCACCATTTTTACAGCTTTAAAGGCTCCCACAGCTGCCTTGATTATCAACGTATTAGCTCTGTACACTTAATTCAGCTCCTAATGCTTCTCATGTAGTGTTAAAGCCATTTAAAAGAGAGTCTCTGCTTTTACAACCTTTCATTTTTTTTTTAGCAGCCCAGCAGCACGGTTATTCGGTTTGTAAAGCTCCTTACGAAATCTCACCTGAAAACACTGATCTTCAGAGTTGTGCCGTTTTTCCCACTTCAAAGGGAAATCTGCTGCTGCCGCTACCCCGCCAGCGCAGCACGGAGCACCGTAACGCGCTGAACTCTTCGCTGACACAACTGATCTTATCTGCCGATTTGTTCAGCGTTTGTTGTACCAGGCAGATTTCGAAGTTTTAATTTTTAAAAAAAAACCCTGTATTTGTCTTTTCACCTTGTGTTTCGGTAGTTATTTCACATTGTCTCTTACGTTTTGTGGTAAAAGTAACGGCAACTTGTTCAAAACAAAAAAAATCCAAGATGCTTATTGGGATTCCTGGCTGTGCTACAGCAATTCTCAGCAGTCTCCCAGTTGCCAGTGCTTATAATTTTATAATCGTCATACTTTAGTTTTCACTTTGGGGTGCACAGTGGTAACATATCACCCAATTTTCATTGAAGGCCCATGCAACCCTTTATGGTTAAAAACGAATGAAAAAATAGGGGGGAAAATCGTACTATTTTGAGTCTGAATTCAGATTTTCAAGTTGTTTGCAATATCGCAATCCCAGTAGCATCAACATTGAGATATCTGAATAAAAACCACGTGTTTTACAATGAATTAGGCCTTCCAGCAGACATTTTCAGCTATGGAAAATCCCAAACACTACCCTGGCTACCTTCCTTGCCGTAACATTTTGGTTTTCAGTCTCCTGCCTCCCCCACAGTCTCTATATATCCTAAGCTCCAAAGGGTTAAAGTCCTGGCATTTCTTCCGACTGGCATTTCCAAATCCCTCCTGGGGCCCATGCTGCGTTTATGCCAAAATGCGTTACTATTATACAAACAAGGAGCAGGAGGGGGAGGAAAAAAAGAAAACCTCCGCCGTTTGTCCTCCAAAACCCGGCCCCGCTCGCCGGTTTGAAGCTAACCGTACCAACCCCAGTCCTAATAACACCCGCAAGTGATATATAAGGAAGCTTCTAGTGCAGTCAATGCTAAAGAGGTAAACCAGTGATGCTTTACTGAGCAGAGGGCCCGGCTCTCCCGCCCCCGGGCCTGGTTCTCATCCCTCACGCCTCTCGCTGCGGGAGGCTCGCAGGCTGCCCCGCTTCCCCCCGCCGCTGCCTCGGGATTTAGCCGTGCCCCGCGTTAAAACAAGGCCGGGCCGCCTTGTTCCCGACAGGCCCC